ATCCCGTTGGCCAAGGTGAAAGAAGTATGAACCCCTTAGGATTATTCCTAGTATGTGGATGACCACGCATAGGTTTCATTATACGTTTTCTCCCCTTCCCAATGTGTTAATGTGGGTTGCATGTGCTTGCTATGTGTTATGTGTGCATGATACCCCAATTTGGTTGCGATCAAATTGGTTATTCCTGAGCTGCCATTCAGAAGCTGGCTGCGGTCAGAATTACACTCTCGGGCTGCGGTCCACCGTTTGGTTGCATCCAAACGTTTTACATGAGCTGCGGTTCATATTCCTGACTGCGGTCAGATGACTACTCTTGGGCTGCAGTCCACTGTTTGGTTGCGATCAAACATTATGATGAGCTGCGGTTCATCGGTCGGTTGCGATCGACCCCTTCGTATTGCGATACGAGGCAGGGTGCTGCGGGGCCATGTCAGAGCTATATGCCTGACCCTCATGTATGGGCATGCGATTGGTCCTATGGCGCCACCAAAGTGTGCTTGGGTGTGATGAGATACGAGTTGGGATGATGATATGAATAAGATGAAGTGAATCTGTGACCATAGGATATATGCTAGTATCTCTATATGCTTGATTATAACTGTTGAATGTGCTTATCCCTATCTGTCGAGTCTATTCTTGGTTTTAAAACTAGTGTCTCCTAAGTATGTCTTCCTGCTTCAAAATGGTTTTCCTATATCTATATCTATACAGATACCTATATTGTATTTCAACGCGTTGGAGTGGGTTACTAGCACCTCTCGCTGAACAGATATATTTGGCTTTCAGGCACTGAAGAGTAAACACTGGAGCGCGCTAGAGATTCGGAGCGTAGAGTAGATAGTTTCCCTTTTTGGCCTGCGTGTCGTGCTTGCGTATTTACATTATTGAGGATATTAGTTCGTTAGCCTGTGCACCTGAGTTCTCTAGCTCAGGTGTGGCATAACACCCCGTACTCTTCTATATTACGTTTGGGATTTAATGAGAATTTATCTTTATTATATAAGTCTTAAAAGTTTCAAAAATCTGGGGTGTTACAGTTGGTATCAGAGCCTAAGTTTGACCATAAGATAAGACTCTTAAGACCAGACTTTAGGACAATAGGCTTGAACTCTAGGTATTTAGGAACATAGGACTCAGGAATCTTAGGACGCGCGGTGAGATTGTGAAACCTACACATAACCTCACCTCACTCTATCCCTCACTAATTTAAAAGAACTCCCCCTACGCTTACCACACCAAGGTAAGGGTGCAGCACACTGACTCATCATTACAATAAATATTGGCCCTGAAAACCAGCAACATGACGCCAACAAGAAGTCAGTCAAGGACCCCACACTCCTCAAAAAAAATGGATCCGAACCTTCAACAAAATCCTCGGGTTAGTGGAATGCCCAGAGGAACGCCGCGTAGAGATAGCCTCGTTCCACTTCAGACACGAGGCCGATCTTTGGTAAATCCACGAAGAACCCACTTATGGGCAACAACCAGGGGTTCAACTAGGACTGCCTAGGAGTACGGCTACGAGGGCAATTCCACCCTGCACCCGTAAGGGCAACCATGTACGAGGAAATTCTCCACCTAAAACAAGGGATGGCCACCGTCAGGGAATACCACAAACAATTCCTCCAACCGGCTTGTTTCGCACCTTAATTAGATCCTACAGAGACGACCAAGATGAAGAAGTCTGTGACAGACCACCAACTACGAAACCCAGAAGGCCCTAATTGTAAGCAAACCCCGAGCCCCTAACGAAGCCTACACCAGTGCTGTCGATCGCTATCGAATCCAACTTCCACAAACGGGAAATTCAGAAACAAACTCGAAAGAAGAAGTAACAGAAGTGGGAGACCACCTGTAAAGAGGAATAGGAACGCCAATTAAATGCAAGGAAATAAAGTAGTACATAAACAACATCTCTTCTTAATCGTTAGCACGAATTGTCGAAAAGGGCTCGATATGACAAGACGAGGCAACGGACGCGTGGGAAGTATCATACAACTAAAAGCTTCCCTGCAATGAAGGTCTTACCTTGGAACAAGGACCTTGATGGTTTTAAGGCACCGTAAGAAGTGCATGTGACACACAAAATCGCCAAAACACCACGCGACGTCAAGGGCAGTCAATCAAATGCATTCCAAGGAAGAGAAATGCATCACCAAGCACTTGGTCACCAAAGGATTGAACAAAGAGTGAGCGACAAGCCGAACTCCAAGAAAAAAACAAGAAGGCTTATCATTAATCAAGCAAGGAAAAGACAAAGTTGGCTTATAACCAACTACTCGGTGAAGATGACGAGGTTGCTAAATTGGAAACCGAACCCGACCTACTAAGCGGAAAGAACATACGAGAGTCTTGACTCATCTAGAACTCGTGCTTAAGGATCAATAACACCGTACGATGGGTCATCCTATGTATTCAAATCCCTTTTATTGTGCACATAGGCATGGGGCTTGTCGGGACTTGAATCTGTGCATTCTTGGGATTTTTCTCGAAGTAATTCACTCTTCCCAGTCACCTTCCCGCGGGTCCCCAACGGGACCTTAATGGGACCCTAACGGGACCTTGACGGGGCTCTGACAGGAGCTTGGCAGGCGGACGACCGCCCACCTCACGCCCACTGGTACAATGTGCTGATTTCTTAACTCCTCGTTTTATTGATTCATGGCGCACTTGTGTGCCTCGATTGATGAACGCGAGTCTTGGGTAAGGAACCATGGGTTGCCCAAACATGGTGTCCTCGGTAAAAGTCCTTGACACGCAAGACACCGTCGGAAAAGCGCAACCAATTGCATTACACGTGGAGTTGAAGTTGGACTCTACGATGCAACCGACTAGGGATGATTGGCATGAAGGATTGTGCAAACCAAGGAGGCGAGTTGGGAACTCGTGCTAAGGACTCACAAAGGCCTTAAAAGTCAAAATGCTAAGGATGGACCGGGATCCCTTCAAACCGTGGATATCGTTCAAGCAAATCAGAGGGCTCCTTACAAGTTGTATGAAATCAAGAACGACGTAGTCCGTGGTGCTAGGCAAAAAGGTAAAAGAGCACATTTGTGCCAAGGCCTCAAGGGTTATTGAGGACCCACAAGGAAATGAGATGACTCGTAAAGTCACCAAGTCATTCCACAACAAGATTAGGTAACCAACTGCACTTCAAGAAGAAAAAGAGCATGCAAGGGCACCTTCATCATTAAAAGTAACACAAAAGGGCACAACAAGCCGAACCTCAGGGAAGACATAAAGTCTTACTAAGAATTTCATTCACTAAAAAGGAGATGAAATTCAATAAGAAGAGAAAGTCAACCCAAAGTTTATCGACTCCCAAGAGACTTTGGGAAGAATTTGGGAAGTGCGCCCTAAAAGATTGGCTTGGTTGACCAAACTTGGTCAAGACTTGGACGTATTAAAGAAGTAAGTATTAAATCATCACGGGCGATTCCCTCAAGATAGAAAAGAAGGATGAAACTTAAGCTTGGGAAGCAAGGTCCGACAAGGATCTTAAAGTAAAGCAAGTGCCAACACCAAAGGAGAAGGATCATCAGTTCATCAATACGTCGTGATCAAAGCATCAAACCAGAATAGTCACTTGAATCGAGAACCCTTAACCCATCCTAGCCGAACCCCTTTCCCTCCCTTGGATAACCGAGCCCCTCCTTATTACAAAACCCTTTCTACCCTTCAAACCCCATTCTTGATTCCCTATTTTAACGATTCCATACAAGGTAGCAACCTCACCTCCTAAAGATGCAAACCTTGAAAACTTTGATCCTAATTCTTAAATTCACTTTGTCCTCAAGTTTGAAACCCACTCTCTTAATCCATTTAACCAAATCGTTCCCAAAAACCCAGTACACATAGATATACAATTATGTATTCTCCCCATAGAATACATTCTCTCAATATGACCACCGTACTACTTTTGACTCGTTATCCCTGTAATGACTTCTAAGCTTCGGGGACGAAGCTTCTCGTAAGGGGGGGAGAGTGTAACACCCCGTGTTACGGCCTTCAATCCCGGATTAATTATTTAATTAATCCCGCTAATAATAATTAAATAAGATTTAAATTGGTTAGGTTTCCCTTTAAATAATTAATAAGGTCCACCATGAATCGTGGACCCTTGCCTAAACTAGAGCTTTAAGCCTATTAGGAATAAAGAAAGTAAACCTTTTACTAGTCAGATTCTAATTAGGAATCCTAGACCTATTTATCTATTAAGAATAAAGGAAGTAGGCCTTTTACTATTCAGATTATTATTAGGATTCTCTCTAATTAATTAATATGGTCACTATGGACCATGGACCCTTATCCCTAAAACAAGTCCTTAGTCCTATAAGGAATAGGATTAGTAAACCCATACCACTTAGACCCTAATTAGGACTCTTAAATATATAAATAAGGTTATAGGAGGCACCTAGATCTTACACCACAATAATCTCTCACCACACAAAAAGTTCTAAGAATTCCCTTAGGAGAAATCAAGAAAGAAGAAAGCTTAAAGAAAGACCCTTCATAGGGCAAGGAATTAATTAAGGCTAAGAGGTAACCCATGTCTCTTCTTTGGCCTCCTATCTATGATTATGTCTTGATGAATCGTTTATGATATTGATGATATGTTCTTAATGATTGTGAGATGATTTTATGTGTGATCTTGATGATCTTGATGGTGTTGAGAGGTTCTTGATGATTATGTGATGTTCTTGATGAATCTTGATGTTTTGGCAATTAAAAGATGAACTATGATTTTATTGATTTGAATATGATTAGAGCTCTAGGTTTAAATTGGGAATTTCGTATTGTGTTATTCTTGATATAATTGGGTGGGATTTCGCATGTTCGGGTGTTGATTATGTTTAGAAGTCATGATAGGATATGTGCTATATGATTCTTGCTTTTGATCCGTTAATTGTCTACATGGTGTCATCAATTGCGTTTAAAAGTGTCTAAGCATGGTTTCGGGTTCCACGACGGATCCCGGGACATTTATTTTGGTAAAAAGTCAGTGGGGGGTAGGTGGGGGTAGGGGGACCCGCCACCTACCAGCTGCCCGAAAAGTGCGTCGCCGGCAGCGGGCAGGCGACTGCCCGCCGGGCACCCGCTGCCCAGAGACTGGTCGCCGGCGGGTGGCCTTCCACCCACCGGCTACCCGCTGGAAATTGTCCCAACTCGGGACTCCGGCTTCCCCGTTTGATGTTTCCCAGACCCTCGTGGTGTCCCAACGGACTCCGTTTGTCGTGCCTAAGTCTAGTTTGATGTTTCGGGTACCATTCGTAGGATAAATGAGTCTTATATATATCGCATGCTAGTTGAATTGGTATCCCGTTGGCCAAGGTGAAAGAAGTATGAACCCCCCCCTTAGGATTATTCCTAGTATGTGGATGACCACGCATAGGTTTCATTATACGTTTTCTCCCCTTCCCAATGTGTTAATGTGGGTTGCATGTGCTTGCTATGTGTTATGTGTGCATGATACCCCAATTTGGTTGCGATCAAATTGGTTATTCCTGAGCTGCGGTTCAGAAGCTGGCTGCGGTCAGAATTACACTCTCAGGCTGCGGTCCACCGTTTGGTTGCGATCAAACGTTTTACATGAGCTGCGGTTCATATTCCTGGCTGCGGTCAGATGACTACTCTTGGGATGCAGTCCACTGTTTGGTTGCGATCAAACATTATGATGAGCTGCGGTTCATCGGTCGGTTGCGATCGACCCCTTCGTATTGCGATACGAGGCATGGTGCTGCGGGGCCGTGTCAGAGCTATATGCGCTGACCCTCATGTATGGGCATGCGATTGGTCCTGTGACGCCACCAAAGTGTGCTTGGGTGTGATGAGATACGAGTTGGGATGATGATATGAATAAGATGAAGTGAATCTGTGACAATAGGATATATGCTAGTATCTCTATATGCTTGATTATAACTGTTGAATGTGCTTATCCCTACCTGTCGAGTCTATTCTTGGTTTTAAAACTAGTGTCTCCTAAGTATATATCTTCCTGCTTCAAAATGGTTTTCCTATATCTATATCTATACATATACCTATATTGTATTTCAACGCGTTGGAGTGGGTTACCAGCACCTCTCGCTGAACAGATATATTTGGCTTTCAGGCACTGAAGAGTAGACACTGGAGCGCGCTAGAGATTCGGAGCGTAGAGTAGATAGTTTCCCTTTTTGGCCTGCGTGTCGTGCTTGCGTATTTACATTATTGAGGATATTAGTTAGTTAGCCTGTGCACCTGAGTTCTCTAGCTCAGGTGTGGCATAGCACCCCGTACTCTACTATATTAAGTTTGGGATTTAATGAGAATTTATCTTTATTATATAAGTCTTAAAAGTTTCAAAAATCTGGGGTGTTACATATACCCCCTAAAGGACCCAGGATAATCAAGAAAGACACACTGAGATGACGTATAGGACATTTTGTGACGATTATAAGGCGGTAGGTGAGGATAACACAGACAATCAAAGACACGAAGAAAAGAGTAGGATGGGGGAGATTTATGCAATAACTAATGAGGACTAGAGTTATTTAATATAGCAGACAACATTTTGTTAATTAAATAAACCGCAGTCTCAAATGCAAAATCTCAAAACTGAGACGGAACAGAGGCACGAGCCATGAGGGTTAGTACAGTTTCAACAATATGCCTATGTTTTCGCTCTACACGACCATTTTGACCGTCGGACTGCTCGGAGCCACGACCACGACCACGCGACTGGCCCCCCTTGCCCCGCTGCTGCTGTCTACCTTCCTGGACAATGAAGGCCGTCAACGAGGTGCTCGGTCCACTGCCGACGATGAACTCCTCGGCACCGAGGAGATCCGAGAGCTCATGGAGCATGACCGGTGTTCCCCGAACGTTGAGGGAAGAGACAAGAGCCCGGAATTCGGGCCTCAACCCCCGGAAGACGTACACATTTTGCTCATCGAGAGGAACATGTCGGCCACCAAGAGTAAGGTCCTCTATCAGAACCTGGGCTCGGCCGATGTAATCGGCAACGGAGGCGTCACCCTGCTAAAGTGTCTAGAGCTGCCCGAGTAGATTCAACGAGCAAGATCGAGACGACGAGGCGAGGGCAGAGGTGACGGCAGTCCACACTGCACGTCTGGTGTGATGCCCAATTGCCAAAGGCATAACTTCATCAGACAACGATGACATAAGCATAGAAATGAGCGTCTGATCCTAATGAACCCACGGAGGACGAGCGGGATTCGGTAGTTATAACACCCCAAAATTTTAAAACTTTTCAATCTTATAATATGAAAGCAATTCTATTAAATAAATCCCAAATGGAGTATTCTAAACATAAGGTCTGGGGTGTTATGCCACATCTGAGCTGGAGAACTCAGATGCACAGGCTATTCTAACTAATTATCCTTTAAACATTGTCGTTACATCATCAAGGCGCGCAGGCCGAAAGGAAAGACTAACTATCTAAGCTGAGGTCTTCTAGCGCGCTCCGGTAGCTAATCATCTGTGCCTGAAAGCCAAATATATCTGTTCAGCGAATGATGCTGGTAACCCACTCCAACGCGTTGAAATACAATATATATATATATATATATATATATATATATATATATATATATATATATATATATATATATATATATATATATATATATATATATATATATATATATATATATATATATATATATATATATATATGAAAACCATTTTGAAGCAGGAAGGTATATACTTAGGAGACTCTAGCTTTAAAAACTAGGAATAGACTCGACAAATAGTGATAAGCATATTCAACAGTTATAATCAAGCATATAAAGATACTAGCATATATCCTAGTTTCACAGATTCACTTAACATCGTTCATATCATCATCCAATTCATATATTATCACATAAGCGCACTTTGGTGGCGCCACAGGACCAATCGCATGCCCATATATGAGGGTCAGCACATATAGCGCTAACGCGGCCCCGTAGCACCCTGCCTCGTATCGCAACACGAAGGGGTCGATCGCAACCGACCGATGAACCGCAGCTCATCATAATGTTTGATCGCAACCAAACAGTGGACCGCAGCCCAAAAGTGAACCTCTGACCGCAGCCAGGAATATAAACTGCAGCTCATGTAAAACGTTTGATTGCAACCAAATGGTGGACCGCAGCCCAAAAGTGTATTTCTGACCGCAGCCACCTTCTGAACCGCAGCTCAGGTATAACCAATTTGATCGCAACCAAATTGGGGTATCATGCACACATAACACATAGCAAGCACATGCAACCCATATTAACACATTGCGAAAGGGGAGAAAACGTATAATGAAACCTATGCGTGGTCATCCACATACTAGGAATAACCCTAAGGGGTTCATACTTCTTTCGCCTAGGCCAACGGGATACCAATTCAACTAGCATGCGATACACAAGACTCTTTTATCCTACGAACGGTACCCGAAACATCAAACTAGACTCAGGCACGATAAACGAAGTCCGTTGGGACACCACGAGGGTCGGGGAAACATCAAACGGAGGAAACCACCATCCCGAAGTGGGAGAACCAGCGGGTGGAGGACCACCCGCCGGGCGGCGAGAAACCGGGTAGCGGGTGCCCGGCGGGCAATCGCCTGCCCGCTGCCGGCGACGCCCGAATGGGGCAGCGGGTAGGTGGCGGGTTCCCCTACCCCCCACTGACTCTTTTTCCATATTTTGGGTCCCGGTATCTTTCGTGGAACCCGAAACCATGTTTCGACACTTTTAAACACAAACGACGATACCACGTAGTCAAATAATGGATCAAAACCAAGAATCATATTGAACATATCCTAGCATGACTTCTAAACATAATTGACACCCGAACATGCGAAATCCCACCCAAATATACACCAAGAACATCACAATATAAAATTCCCTAATTTAACCTAGGGCTCTAATCCCATTCAAATCATCAAGATCATAGTTCATCTTTAATATCAAGATTTATCAAGAACATCACGCAATCATCAAGATCCTCTTATCATCATCAAGACCATCAAGATCACACATAAAATCATCTCATCTATCATCAAGATCATATCATAATTATCATAGAAGATTTCATCAAGACACAAGCATATAGAAGGAGTCAAAGAAGAAGATTATAGCAAGGAAAATAGGTTTTGTTGAGACATGGGTTACCTCTTAGCCTTAATTAGATTCCTTGGCTATTAAGGCTCTTTTCTCTAAGATCTCTTCTTCTTGATTTCTCCTATGTTTGGTGGTGGGGGATTCTTGGGAATTCTTGTGTGGTGATATTTATTATGGTGTGGGTTTTAAGTGCCTCCTATGCCCCTATTTATATATCTAAGAGTCCCGATTAGGGTCTAAATGGTATGGGTTTGCTAATTCTATTCCTTATAGGACTAAGGGGTTGGTTTTAGGGATGAGGGTCCATGGACTATGGTGGACCCTTCTTAGTTAATTAATGGATTTTAATTCTCTTTTTAGGGTAAGTGATTAAATAATTAGTTTGGGTTAGAGGTCGTAACACGGGGTGTTACAGTAGTGGTAGCGCCCCCTCCTCGCCGGACGAGATCATGGCCGGCGGACAAGGGTTTGAGCCGTCGATGAAACCCATTAGGTCATGCCCGTTGATAAAAAGGAACAACTTGAGCCCTCCAAAATAAGAGTTTCGATAAGTCAGTTTGATATTGATAAAGTGATGAGCAGTAGAGAAGGTGGTTACGGTTGAAGCAACCGATGAGAGAGTAGCATCAGAAACAGTCCATTCAGAAGAATTGACATATTCGTCGGCCATTGGAAAGAAACCCTAGCTAGCTGATATCATGTGAGAATTGTTATTGAATGTATTAACAGGGATAAATTACAAGAGTACAGATCCTAGGTATATATACAAGAGGAGACATAGGGAGACTAGGATTGTGAATCATAACTGGACTCAGATACATAGAGTCCTAATACTCAAATACATAGAATCCTAATAATGCTACATCTTACATATAATAAAGCTATATGGTTGGGAGGTAATTAATGTTACAATTAATTACC